CTTATTTAAGACTTCCCGAAACTCATAAACGTATTTATAACATGGAGAAAACACGTAGAACAAATGCGCTCGCGTAGGTGCTCGCAAGTGGACAGGAAAACAGACACAAAGGATTGTTTTCAATTCTCCTCGAAGTTTATTACCTCTTCTGACGACAAGTACAAACGTGCAAGCGACCTGTGAAATGTGGGAGGCACTTTAAGCTTTTATACAACTGAGGACATTGCAAAGGAAACAAGAACCGAGACTATACAGCTAGACTTTCGGGGAAATTATTCTCCCGGCTGCCGCATGAATAGGCGCTGCATAATTCTACGGATAACCTGAAAGAGTACGCGTAGAAGAGCGGTCAATCGTTGCCAACACGTATTTTGCAGTGCACTTACCATAATAATAGCGGACTTGACAGATGTAATCCGTGACATTTGTCGTCACGGTCAAAGCAGGACAACCACACAAACACAAAAACGAGAAGGAAGGCTCGTTGAAGTTTCAACACGATGCGGCGCACAAGCTGTCATTTGCCGAACCCAGCCAAACCGCAAGAATTCCTGACTTTGAAGAATCGCTTGTCGCCGATATACGCGTACGACTTTTCGAACATTTGGTGCACATCCCATAGGTTGTCCAGAGACATTCTTATAAGACCGCAGGGAAAAGCGGCAGATCGAAGCAGGCAGGACAAACGAAGTTGCAACGGAAAACAAGCAGACAAAGAAGCAAGCGACTGTGAACGCGCGCGCAGCCGGATCTGGCTATGCTTATCAGTGTGGAGCGTGCCCTACCAACACCTCCTAGAGAAGAAGGCCAGAGCGCTCTGAGAGGTTACGTCACAATGGCGGAGGAAGGAAGTCCATGGCGCAACTACGTGAGAATACGCTATCGACGTGAAAACAATGTCCCTCGACAAGCGGCGCGGTGGTGTTCGTTCATGCGCGTTTATCCGACATTAATATACGTTTTAAAGGCGCAGTCTTGTACAATTTATTATATATATATAATATATACGTATTATACAACGCGCTACCAAGGTTGAGAGTACCAAAATTATATTTATGAGTATTCCCGTAACCGCGGGACTACGTGCAGTTCCGCAGCACCCCACACTTTTTGAAAGGACCGGCTGCGATGCTGCTGATGCCACATGGCTCCGATTCTGGTAAATTTACGTTGTGTGTGAGCTGCTGACTGTCTGAAAAGGAACGCTGAGACATATCAGAAGAGAAGCAAACCGAAAAGAAATCCAGTCGTTGTCGCAGGGAGCGAGCGCACACCAGCAAGAGATGGGTCGACAACGTTAAGCCTTTCGTCGCCGCTGCTCTCGTGTGTGGTACTTTTGAGACTTGTTTCCCGTCGTATTTCTGTCATCACCGTAGTCTCGGGTAGTTTTTTTTTAAGTTCGCTTGATAGTACGGCATTTACGTGCATTCGTGAAACAAGTCCTGCTACGGTTTGAGTGACGTGTGACAACTAGCCAACGAAGGCTCTGGTCGACTAATCGATAGACCTCTCTCTCGACAAAGAGAGGCTTCTTGGAGTTCGTGTTCAAATGTGTTCGTCACGGATATTGTGGGACGTATGGATACGATCGACAGGTGAGAAACAACTTATTTACGGGCTTTCTTGTTCATGTAGGACGCAAGTAAGATGCTGCAATCGTTTTTTTTTAATCGCATGATAAATTGCAATTTTGTTCCTTGTCATTATTCGTATGCAGTTGCGTCGACATTTGTAAATATGCGCGCTAATCTAGTTTTCACAGGAAGATGAAAGTCAAGTTTGTGTGATTATTGAAAGTGAGTTGTTTGTGGTTCTGTGTTTATTTATACTAAAGTTATTTGATTGCCTTTTCCGCGTTTATACTAGAATCTTAACTGTATTAAGGTGATAGTATTATTATATACAAAATAAGTTATGTTTTGTTCTAAGGCAGCTCGAGCCCATAGGGAGAAGTAAATTAGTAGACTGAGTAGTAAGTTTAGTACCCCTGCCACAGGGAAACGTTAATATATTTTCATTCAGTGATATAGGATTTAATCAGCTCGCGGTCTTGAGTGATTATACGAGCGCCGTAAGCGGATTTGTCGACCCTATAATGTCATTCGATCGAAATTACATTAATTTTGCCATGTGGCCGGGGTATGATGCAAGAATTCAGTGACAGCACGCGATAACGTCGCTTACATGATCGTGAGAAACGCTTGTCTTGCCTTGTCCTCGTTGACTATGTCTACCTGATTTTTAACTGTTCTGTTTTGCTGTTTCAAAATCACTGCGTGTCTCGCCATTTTGTCAAAGTATTTCTGTATAAAATATGCATTCCTACAACAATAATTGCATGACTCAATGTTTTCGACTTAAAACAATCACATTTTTCGATAGACGTCTTGTACGCATACCTCGTGCCATTTCGTACCGATTATTTAGCGGTGTAATATTTTGCTCGTGTAATAAAATGTTTTCTAGACCCGTTGCTATGTGCAGCTTTCATTTTAGCTAATATGACACGCGTATGTGACTAAAAACGCGTTACGACGGTCGATCTACGCGCGTTGCATTCGCTTCGACGCGCGCCCCCGATGGCCTTCCTTTGCGACGTCACGAGAAGAGCACTACGGCCTTGTCTTCTAGGAGGTGTTGGCCCTACCAACACCTCCTTGGCCCTACCCTCTCCCTGGTCACGTGACAGAGCCGACCAGAGAGGAGGAAGGGGGCGACGGCGAGGCCAAGGAGCAAGACACCGGGACACCCCTCCCCCCTCCCTCGCAACCCTCTCCTCATGCATTCTAAAAAAAAAAAAAAAAAACCTTGCGGTTGGCTTTTTGTGGCAATGCAGTCAATGCTAGGGGAGAGGGTGCACGGACCGCTGTACACGCGCTTTTCTTCTCTCTTGGAGTTGCCACTGCACGTCGCGTTTGCAGCCTTGGAAAGCAGGCGAAACGCGCGCGTTTCAGCACGCACGCTGGAAGTGGCGTCGGCCATGAGCTCGGCTTGCGCCCGAGCCAAAAAAGCACCCAGCACGAGCTCGTAATTTGACTGCTGCGACGGCGGGCGTACTCTCGCAATGCTCGATGTTCTTGCAGGCACGTGTTCGCGCTAGCTTCGCCGCGTCTTGAAATGAAGTGAAACGGACTCTAGAAGTACATTCTTTCATGCGGTCGCGTCTTCTGCGAGAGAGATTCGAGCTGAATAAGAAAATTGAGGCAAAAAAGATGGACAAAGGTTTAAAGTTCTGTCAAAAATATCGGCTCACCAACGTCGCGCTTTTACGTAAAAAAAAAAAAAAAATGTGTTCGTTTTAGTTGCAGTATAAGCGCACATCAGCGCACTTAAAATATAAATACAATTACTTGCATTACGCGGACGATCTGAAATCAGCCAGCCTTCCGGAAACGTTGGCTGCCACGGCTCAAACAGCTAGGCGTGCCCAGGAGGCCGATCTGTACGTTCAATATCAAACGGGCTCCCGAGAGCCGTTTGATTAAACCGGTACAGTTTGACGGTCCGATCACCCGCTTGTGCAACATGTTCACCGGTTTGAGCAAACGTGCGACAACTTTGCCCAAACGAGTCGCCCATTTGCCCCGACGAGTGACCCGTTTGCCAAAGAAGTGACCAGTTTGCCCAAGTAGGTGACCGTTATGGCTCATACGGGCGACCCCTTTGAGCCATACGGGCGACCCCTTTGGCAAACTGGTGACCGGTATGGCTAAACTGTTACCGGTATGGACCCGTTTGTTTTCATACAGGCGCCAAATGGTTTTTTTCAGTAGTGTATTGCCTTTTCGACTTCACCTAACGTGATAGGCTGTTCTAGCCTTTCCTTAAGCTCGTCTGCCAGCTTCGGCATTAACGGTAAAAAAAAAAAAAAAAAACTTTGAAAATCGTCTATCTTGGGTGCGCAATAACTAAAAAGGCCTTTGTAATGCTCTACGAACGCGTTTTCTACGCTTTCCTTGTCACTCGACAACGTACCCCGATAAAGAATTTCGCTTATCTCGTTCTTGGCGGCATATCTTCGTTCAATGCCAACTGCTCTTTTGGTGGGAATCTCCCCATCCGATATGCGTTTCAGACGCGCCCGTACAACAGCCCCCTGATACTGATCAGTATCTAGCGCATCTAGACGTTTCTTTAGACTGATAATGTCGTCAGTGAAAAGCCCAGGCGATAAACATTCTTCGTGTAATAACTCTTTCAGCAGGCCATCTAGTTCCTGCTTTACCTTTTTCTGCTCGTGTTTCAAAATACTTGAGCGTTCAAGCGCTGTCATTTTTACATCCTGTTTAAATAGTTCCCACTTTACACCAAAATCGTTCCCCTCGGCCCTTGCCAACTTGTCTAGAGTTTGGCGAACTGAATTCACGAAGTAATCATCGCTAAGGAGCTTAGTATTACATTTCCAAAGATTCCAATCAAACTTTTTTGGCTTCTCCTTTGATGAACATAGCATAAAAGAAACGAGGCGGTGGTCGCTAAATGACACGTGATCAACAGTATACTTTTTACACACTCTCAGCAATTCAAAAGAAACATACACTCGTCAAGGCGAGCGTGACTTGCTCCTTGTAAGTGTGTAAAGAGCAGAAACCCTCCACCAGACACGCAGTTGGCAACGTCTTCTAGGCCGTAGCGTTCGACCATTCACCCCAAAAGTAAAGCACTTTCATCATGAAATCTCCTGCTGTTCGCCCGATCACGAGGAGCGCACACACAATTAAAGTCCCCTAGCAAAATGACACGCCGATCCGTCCGAACATATTTCTCAAAACTCTCAAAAAAAGCCCACTCTTTCATCGATTCTGTTCGGTGCGTAAATGCAAAGAACACGGAAAAGGTTACAAGAAAAAGAAAAATCACAGAGGACAAAGCGTCCCGACTCATCGCTAATAACCTGCTCTACAATAAACAAACCCTTCCGCAAAAACAAAAGACACCCGCCAGACGTTCCAACCGCGTGGCTTACACAAACGTCGTAACGCGACTCAAACATCCGCACCATGCTCTCAGTCTGTCCTTCGCCTTCCATCTTTGACTCTTGAACCGCCACAATATCGAGGTCGTACTCAATAAAGAGGCGGCTCAGTTGGCACTGCCGGCGCCGGGAACATAGTCCCCGTACGTTTAAAGTGCCCACGCGCAAAGACTTTTCTAGCATGCTTAAATTCTAGGTAGGACCAACCGGAAAGTGCTGCCTTTAGTAAAAGAAAACCGTGCGAAGAAACCTTTTACAACAGTAGTGAAGGCCTTGACCACTCACTTCAATTGCTGCTCCCTGCGCTGGCGAGACCTCGACCGTTCACGGCTAAGTCCCCCGTTGCCAACCCACTCGCGCTCGAGGCGTCGCAGTTCCCTGTCGGCGATCTTGGAGCTTACGCCTTCGTGCCGTCGCCTCGCCGCTCCGGTCTCTGCGTCCCTGAGCCTGACGTCGACGCTACCTTCGCCCTCCTCGGGCTTGCCGCCGTCGTCACCCTTGACCTTGACTTCGTCATGAACTTTCGTCCCGACGTCTTCGTCGACATGGTTCTTGCCGTCATCGTTCCCCGGCACGGCGGTTGCCGCTGGGACGACTGGAGAGTCCGTCACCTTTTCGGACCCGAGCTCTTCGACTACCTCGGGGGCCGCTTTGTCTTTTGATGCCCCGGGCGAAGGTCTTGGTTTCGCCTCATCACGGACTCCGCCGTTCTCTGCGGGCCCGCCCTGGGTTTGCTGGTCTGTCGGCGTCGTCGCTGTTGCTGCTCTCTCGGCCTCGAACACGTCCATGCACTCTGTGTCGTCCGACGCCACGGCGATGTTGTTGCCAGTGACGCGGGCGTACGTCTTCACGCACGACGAGGCCTCGTGTCCGAAGGCCTGGCACTGGTTACACCGGGGCACCCTGCAGTCTCGAAGTATGTGCCCCGCTCGGTGGCAACGGAGGCAGATCGGCGCACGACCAGGGACGACGACCAGGACATTCCCCCCGCAGATCCGCAGCTGGTGTGGGAGGCTTTCCAGGGAAACGCCCTCCTTCAGCATCATCCGCACCACCAACGTGGTGGACTCAACGTCGACAAAGCCTGGCACTTTCCACTTTTCTCGGATAATTTCTTTGACCGAGCCGAAGGGCTCGAAGGCACGACGCACCGTGTCCGCTGGGACGTCGAACGTGACCCAGTGGAGCTTGATGCGCAGCTCCCTCCGACTCGGGTCTACGAGAAGGCAAAAGCGGCCTTTTACTTGCAGGTTGCCGGCTTCCAGAAGCTTGGTCTTTGCTTCCAGCGAGTGAAGCTTCAGCAGCCAGACGTGGCTCATCTGGAAGGCCCCCAGACCAGCCACGCCCGGCAAAACTCCCACCTTGTCCAACGGTTCACGGAAGTCTTCAATCCGGTAAGGTCTTCCTTGAAGATCAGCGTGAACAATCACGCTGAGCTTAGCAGCATCTCCGGTGGGCAGAGCAGGCAAAAGTACACGGTAATCGATCGTTTGGCAGAAAAGAACCATTCGTTTCACCGCGGCCGATAACGGCCGCCGCCTCTTTCGGGGAGCGATTCATTGCGCCGTCCGCTCTGGCTGGAAGCCGGAAGTGGAATCCCGCCTACTTGGGCAGCTGCGCGCGCGGCATTACTCCCCCCTTTAAAAAGTGCATCGTCCCGATGCAACCCAAAAACAAAACAAAGCAAATAAAAAGAACGGTAAACTGAAGAATCATTTGGAACACATAAGGTCCGCAGTCCTATCGGGCGTAGTACGGCTTCAGTCGCACGACGTGGACGACTTCCGGTCGTGGAGGGCGGCGTGACGAAGTCCGTGTTCCGTCGGGCATCACCTCGTAGTTCAGATCCCCGAGTCGACGAAGCAATTTGTAGGGTCCAAAGTGCCGTTTCAGCAGCTTCTCACTGAGGCCGCGGCGACGGATGGGCGTCCACACCCACACCCTGTCTCCGGGCTGGAAGTGAACGTCCCGGCAACGAAGGTTGTAGCCGCCCGCTTCGACGCGTTGCTGGTCTTGAATCATGAGTCGGGCCAGCTGGCGGACTTCTTCGGCGCGTTGAGCAACCGCCTGGGCGTCGTCGCTCTCATTGTCAGATGGCTCATAGGTCAGCATTGCGTCCAGCATGGTCGTTACCTTTCGACCATGTACCAGCTGGAAAGGGGTGAATCCAGCGGTGTACTGAACCGCCGCATTGTAGGCGAACGTGACGTAGGGCAACACCTCGTCCCACGTCTTGTGCTCTACGTCGACGTACATAGAGATCATATCGGCGATTGTCTTGTTGAGTCGCTCGGTCAGCCCCTTGGTCTGCGGGTGGTATGCAGTGGCTCGACGATGGCCGGTGCCACTGAGACGAAGAATCTCTTGCGTCAGCTGGGCCATGAACGAAGATCCACGGTCTGTGATGAGGACTTCAGGGGCGCCGTGCCGGAGGACAATGGAATCGATGAAAAACTTGGCGACTTCAACAGCCGTGCCTGCTGGAAGGGCTTTCGTCTCGGCGTACCGTGTGAGATAGTCGGTGGCGACGATAATCCAGCGGTTTCCCGACGTTGACGGCGGGAAAGGGCCAAGTAAATCCATTTCGATCTGCTGGAACGGCATAGACGGGGGAGAAATCGGATGCAGAAGCCTTGACGGCTTCGCCGGCGGTTTCTTGCGTCGCTGACACTCGTGGCATGATCGAATGTATAGGTGAACGGTCTTCGGTAGCCTCGGCCAGTAGTACTTTTCCCGAATCCTGGCGAGCGTCCTGCCCTAGCCAAGGTGTCCAGCCGTTGGGTCGTCATGGCATCCTTGGAATATTTCGTCTCGAAGGTTGGCAGGAAGAACCAACAGCCATGCTGTGTTGTTGTTGACGAAGTTCTCCTTGTACAGCACCCTTTGCCGCATGGAGAATGTATGCAGGATTCTTAAGAAAGCACGGGGAACCGAAATCGCTTGTCCCTCTAAGTGCTCGATGAGCGCTCGCAATTCAGGGTCGTCTCGTTGGAGTGCTGCCATGTCGCTGACGTCCAAAGCGCCGAGGAAACACTCATCGTCGTCGTCTTCGATACAGGCAGGACCGGCCCCGACAGGAGCTCTTGACAGGCAGTCGGCGTCATTGTGCTTCCGGCCGGACTTGTATACAACGGTCATGTCAAACTCCTGCAGTTGTAAGCTCCACCGGACGAGGCGTCCGGAGGGGTCTTTCCGATTCGCGAGCCAGCAGAGCGAGTGGTGGTTTGTGACCACGCGAAAAGGACTTCCATACAGGTATGGGCGAAACTTTGTTATTGCCCAGACGACAGCAAGGCACTCCTTTTCAGTTGTAGAGTAGTTCCTCTACGCCTTAGATCGTCTGACTCACGTATGCGATGACCCGCTCTGCCCCGTCCTGCCTTTGAACTAGCACCGCTCCAAATCCGGTCTTACTGGCGTCCGTGTAGATCTCTGTATCAGCGAACTGGTCGAAATGGCCAGGAATTGGGGGAGTCTGGAGTCTTCGTTTCAGCTCATCGAATGACGTGTTCGTCTGTCCATTCGAACTTTACGGCGTCCTTCGTGAGGTGCGTGAGCGTGCGGACAGCTTGGCGAAGTCCCGAACAAATCGTCTGTAGTAGGCACAAAATCCGAGGAATCTTCTCACGGACTTCTTGTCCGACGGCGGCATAAATGCAGCTGCGGCGCGGGTCTTCTCGGGGTCAAAGAGAACACCTTTGTTGCTCACGACGTGGCCAAGGAACTTAAGTTCACCATAGGCGAATCGACGCTTCGTTGGCTTGAGTGACAGGCCGGCGGTCTTGATGGTTTGAGGCACGGCTCGAAGTCGTTTCAGGTGCTCGTCGAAATCAAGTGAAAATAACACGACGTCGTCGAAGTAGACGAGGCAGCTCTGCCATTTCAGACCTGCCAGCGCGGTGTCCATGACACGCTGGAAGGTGGCTGGCGCTGTACAAAGCCCGAACGGCATCACTTTGAATTCGTACAGTCCGTCGGGAGTGACGAAGGCAGTTTTCTCCCGGTCGCGTTCATCGACTTCAATCTGCCAGTAGCCACTCTTCAGGTTCATTGACGAAAAATATCGGGAGTGGCGCAGTCGGTCTAACGTATCGTCGATGCGGAGGAGCGGATAGACGTCCTTCTTTGTCACAGCGTTCGGTTGACGATAGTCCACGCAGAACCGCAGGGTTCCGTCCTTCTTCTTTACAAGGACGAATGGGGACGCCCACGGACTTCTGGAGGGTTGAATGATGTCGTCGTCGAGCATTTCTTGGACTTGATCTTGAATCACCTTCCTTTCCTTTAAGGAGACTCGATACGGCGACTGGTGGACAGGGAGCGCGTCGTCGTCGGTAATAATGCGATATTTCGCCATTGGTGTTTGGCGAACTTTCGACGACGTGGCAAAACAGTCACTGTATTCGGCGAGGAGATCAACCAGCTGCCGGCGCTTAGAAGCTGGGAGCTCGGGGTCGATGTCGATCGGCGGCGGCGGCGTGCTGTTCTGCTGTGATGACGAGGTTTCTTCGGAGATTGCGGTGACCACGGCTGGCGCCTGAAGCTCCTCAATGTGGCCCACGGTGGTACCCTTCGTTAGGTGCTGCGGCTTCTCTCGGAAGTTTGACACAAGAACCGTTGTACGTCCTTCTTGGATATCCGTTACGCCTCGTGCGACGCCGATTCCTTCCTCAAAGGGCAGTTGGACGCTGCCTTCCAGAAGAGCTTAACCGTGCATGGCTGCGTCGGTTATGACGGTGACGAAAACACTCGACCGCGGCGGTAAGTTCACATGGTCGGTGATAACTCGGATCGCGGTTGACGTTGTGGTCTCCACCGGCGGGAAAACAGGTTTCCGCAGCGTCAACTGGTTTGCCCCGAGGTCGATGACGGCGCCATACTCGCAGAGAAAGTCCATTCCGAGGATAACGTCCCTCGAACAGTCTTGCAGAACGACGAACTTCACAGGGCACGTCTCACCGTGGATCTCGACGCGAGCAGTGCATGTCCCGACTGGTGTGATGAGGTACCCTCCGGCGGTTCGTATTTGTGGTCCATCCCACGGCGTGGTTACTTTTCGAAGGCGGCGGGAGAGCCTCCCACTCAAGACCGAGTAGTCTGCTCCGGTGTCCACGAGTGCTGATGCGTCGTGGCCGTCAATGACGACGTTTAGGTTATTGGACACTGCTGCAGGGGCGTCGTTTCGGTCTTTGGTAGCGTTCGAGTGGGGGCCCTCCAACGGTCGTGGAGGATCTTGGCGTCGGTCGTCTTCGGCAACTCCACCTCCAGGGGTTGCCGCGCCTAGTTTCCCCGGCGTGGAGCGAGGGGCGACAGGCTTTCACGTCGGGGTCGGTACATCGGCGAAGCTGGACATCGTGGCGAAGGCGATAGGAACTCTCGGCTTGACGCAGGCTCGGGAAACTGAGGTCGTCGCAGGTACTTGTCGATTTCCCGAGGGCGTTCACCATAACGGGGTCGCGGGTCGTTCGGGTGGAACCCGCGCAGCCCGAGTCGACGGTATGGGCATCGGCGGTAGGAGTGGTCTGCTTCCCCGCAGTGGAAGCACAGAGGGCGTCGGTCGGTCGTTCGCCACACATCGGTCTTCCGGGGTGCACGGGGCTCCTGGCTGGCGTACTGGAGCTGGTCGTCGCGGCGTCGGTCGTGCTGTGGCGCAGGAGACTGACGTCGGGGCGGCGCGACATAGGCGCGAGGGGGAGGCGGTGGCCGTCGGGCCACTGCGGCGTAAGTTAGCGTGGGTTCTTCGGGGACTGCTGCGCTGGTGGGAGCCTCTGGTTGAATGGCTCTCTGCACCTCTTCCCGCACTACCTCAGCGATGCAGAGCGAAGCTGGTTGGTCAGCGGCGGGTAGCAGCTTTCGCAGCTCCTCCCGCGCGACGTCGCGAATGATCTCGCGAATGCCTGGGATGCTGGAGCCAAGGTCGCCGCTAGACGGCCGGAGGGCAGCGAGGCCGGGTAGTCGCTGAAAGTGACTGGATCGGGCTTGCAGGGCACGCTGGATGTTCGTTGCCTCGGTGACGAAGGCGTCGACGGTTGCCGGCGGGTTGCGGACGAGGCCTCCGAACATGTCGTCTCTCACCCCGCGCATTAGGATTCGTAGCTTCTTCTCTTCGGTAGCCCGAGGGTCGGCGCGGGCACTCAGGCGCAGAACGTCCACTACGAAGCCGGTGACGCTCTCGTTGGGGCCCTGGGTTCTGGTTCGCAGTAGGTCATCGGCTCTCTTTTGGCGGTGGTGGTTGCTGAACGTAGCCTTGAGATGGGTCTTAAAAATGTCCCACGACGTGAAAGAGGACTCATGATTCTCGCACCAGTGCTTGGCGGTACCCTGGAGCGAAAAATAGACGTTGTGCAGGCGCTGCTCGTCGGTCCAGCAATTGTGGCGGGCAACGCGTTCATACTGGTCAATCCAGTTTTCGACGTCTTCGTATTGCTCTCCGTGGAATGGAGCAGCCGTC